AAGATATTTTTTCCCATTTTATAGGTTTTTTCTTCCATTCTTAATTGGTTCCTTTGCTGTACAAATGTTTTTTTAAAATTGGTGTCATCCCATTTATTAATTCTTGGTACTATTCTCTGAGCTTTAGGAATCCTGTTGTGAAAGTCATTGCCTGAACTTTTATGTTGAAGTGTAGATGCTTTGTATTCTTCTAGGAGTTATATATTTTCTGGTTTAATTCCTGGTTTGAGCCATTTTGAGGATTTTTTTTCCTCTTTGCAGGGAGATAGAGAGTGATCTAGTCTCACTCCTCTACATATAAAGATCCTCTTTTCCCAGCACCATTTGTTCAAAAGGCTACCTTTTCTGTATCTTGCAGCCTTTTCATTGGTCCATGTGTCTGTTTTTATGCCAGTACCATGCAGTTTTTGTTACTGTAACTTTTTATAGCTATGCAGTATAATTTGATGTCAGATATTGTGATGCTTCCAGTATTGCTCCCCCCAACTTCCACCCCCTGCTCTAGAAATGCTTTGGTGATTGTGGATCTCTTTCTGCCTATCCATGAACATGGGAGTTCTTTCCATCTTCTAGTGTCTTGTTCAACTTCTTTCTTTGAGTTCTATAGTTTTCTTTCTATTGTTTCTTTCCTTTCCAGTCTTTTCTACTTCCATTTTTATTCTCTTTCTCTCCTCCACTGTTCTCCCTTCTAGTATATGGAATCCTATTCTTTCTTAGTTCCTTAGTTCACTCTAGCTTCTGTATATAAAAGACATTGACTTTACCATTCTAGCTTATTTTACTTAGCATGATGTTCTCCAGTTTCATCCATTTATAGTCAAATAACATAATTTTACTCTTCTCTATGGTTGATTAAAACTTCATTATTTATATATACCACATTTTCTTTATTCATTCACCTGTTGCTGGGCACATGGCTGGTTCCATAACTTGGCTATTGTGAATTGTCCTACTTTAAACATTAATATTCATGCATCACTATACTATGCTGATTTTAGTTTGCTTGCTTTTTTAATAAATACTAAATAGTGGGATAGCTAGTTTGTATGGTGGAGTCATTCCTTGTCTTTTGATTGTTCTGATTTGTAGTTCCATCAATAATGTATGCATGTACATTTCCCTCCACATCCTCAGCAGCATCTATTATTTGTTTTCTTGATGACTGCCATTCTAACTGGAGTGAGATATATCTCAGTGTGGTTTTGATTGGACTTTGTTGATTGATAAATATGTTGAATATTTTTAAATGTATTTGTCAGCCATTTGTATTTTCACTTTTGAGAAATGTCTTTTTAATTCATTTGTTCATTTATTGATTGGGTTATTTATGTTTTTAAAAATATTCTCCCATTCTGCATGCTCTTTCTTCATGTTCTTACTTGTTTCTTTTGTTTTGCAGAGTTTTTAAATGTCATGCCATCATCCTGCTTATTGATTTCTGGTTTTATTTCTTGAACATTAGGGATTTTGTTAAGAAAGTTGGTGCCTGTACCAATAAGTGGGTTTGTTTGTTTGTTTGTTTTCTAACAACCATATATTTTCTGTTCTTATTCATGTGTCTTTAGCTTGCTTTGTGTTGACTTTTGTAAAGAATGATAAATAAGGTTCTAGTATCATTCTTATACATACGGATAACTAGTTTTCCCAGCACCATTTGTTTAAAAGACTATCTTAATCTAATTTCTGTTTTTGGCACCTTAGCCAAATATCAGATAACTGTATAGATGTGTATTTGTCTCTGTCATCTCTACTCTTCCATTGGTGTTCTGTTCTTTTCTCCCATTCAGAATGATTTTTGAACTTTTGTTTTTCATATACAACCTTAATAATCTTGAGGCAATTTCCTTCTAGCCCTCATTTCCTCAAATTTTTTTTAACATGAAGGGGTGCTGGATTTTGTTGAAGGATTTTCCTGCATCTATTGAGATGATCATGTGATTTTGTCCTTGATTCTATTTATGTCAAGAATTGCATTTATTACTTTGTATATGTTGAAGTGACATTGCATGACTAGAATGAAATCCACTACAGCATGGTGTGCCATTTTCTTAATACGTTTTTGAATGTGAATTTCTTAAGATTTCATTAAGGATTTATCACCTATGTTCATCAGGGTTATTGGTCTGTATTTTTTTTTTACTCTTGATATTCTTTTCTCTGTTTTTGATATCAAGCCAATACTGTCTTAACAGAATGAATTTGGGAGTGTTCCCTTCCTTTTCTATTTCATGGAATAATTTGAGGAAGATTAGCATTTTTTCCTCTTTAAGTGTCTGATGAATTTAAGCTGAAAATTGATTTGGTCCTGGGCTTTTCCTCATTGGAAGGCTTTTAATTGCTGATTTAATATCAATGTTTGATATTGATCTGACTTAGTTTTTCAATTTGGGTAGATTGTATGTGTCTGGAAATTTGTTAATATCTTCCAGTTGATTGTTGTACCTATTTTCAAAATAGTTCTTAATGATTCTCTAGATTTCAGAGATATCTGTTGTGATATTTCTTTGTCATTTCTAATTGTGTTAATTTGGGGCTTTCTCTCTTTTAGGACTGCTTTGCTAAGGATTAATCATTCTTGTTTTTTCAAAGAAGCAATTCTTTCTTTCATTAATCCTTTATATTTTTATTCTCAATTTTATTAATTTCTTGTTATTCTACTAGCAAATCAGTCCACCACTCACTGGCTGATATTGGAGTTAGACAAGTGACAGGCCATCCTCAACACCCAGGTAATCTTTTAACACCTTTCCTAAAAGTCATGGTGTATATCCATTATCTCAAGTGGCCATCCCTTGAAAGAAGGATACCAACATCATCAGCATCACTCAACATTGTCAGCAAAAATGCGATTGAAATTGAGACACCAAGGAAAACATTGTACTGCTGCAGTTGACAGTCCCTGAGGTGGTAGAAAATTTTCTTCTGGATGCCACAACTCAAATAAGGCAACACTGACCTGAAATATCTGTATCCAAGAATAGGGAACTTTTTCAAATAAAGGATATGAGAATACTATAATATGCGGAATGGGTGAGAGTATAGAAGAAACTTAGAATGGAGAAATGTTATACATATGAAAACATTATTTTATATATACACACATATGTATTTATATATTGAGCTGAAGTTTGTCATCACAATTGTTCTTAAGTGTTTAATGGCATAAAATGTGGACTTAGATTTACTCTGGATGACTCCAGGGGTGTCGTGAGGACAAATCAGAGGAAAGGGGCCTTGACTCTGGAAATAAGATCATCTTGGTTGGCCAGAAGCCATTGATCAAAGTTAGTTTTTGAGGTTCTGTTTCCTATTTGTATTATCTTCATATATTATATAGGCAATAGGTAGGCTTCCCTAGATATTTGTCTTACAGAAGTTTCAGGAAACCTTAAGAAATTAAAGTAGAAAAGAGTGGGTGGCTTTTGTTTTGTTTTTGAAAGTGGAAATAATCCTGGTAATGTACAGAGCTGAAGTACTTTATAGAAGTTTGGGGTAAAGAATTTTGTTCTGGAAATCCTAGTGGAAAATCGATTATCAAGGCAGTAGAAATCCATTCCAGGAGGAGTGGCTCATGAATTAAGAGGAAATTCCAGGTAACATGTAAGACAGTCATTGCATCCATGGATAATAGCCCATTTTGATAGCAGAAAATAAAATCACAACAAGAATAAACTTACATGTGATTACATATTTTGAATCTGAAGTCTGATTTTTTTGAGAATCTCTTTTCTTTTTCTCATTTGCAGAACAGAAGCTATCAGAAATAGGAAAAGGTTTCTTAAAGGTTGTCAAATTTCTCTTTGCAATTCAATCCAATCTGTCAAACTTTCTGAAGTTAGAGTATTAATGACTCAAGAATTTATCCCCATGATCATTACCATTAATATTTGATCTTTATTCTTCATCCTAGGCACCTGTTTTAGTGAGATTTTTATTGCTGTGACTAAAAGACCTGAGAAAAACAATTGTAGAGGAAGAAAAGTTTATTTCAGGGCTCATGCTTTCAGAGGCCTGAATCTATAGACAGCTGGCTTCATTCCTTAGGGCTTGAGGTGAGGCAGCACATCATGCTGGAAGAGTGTGACAGAGTCAAAACTCACAAGATCATCATGAAGCAGAGAGAGAATCCATTTGCCATATACAATATGTATAACCCCAATGACCCACCTCCCCAGACACATCCTAACTGGCCTTCACTTACCACTCAGTTATTCCCATTGGGGAATTAATTAGCTGATTGGTTAAGGCATTCACAACCCAATCATTTGTCCTTTAAGCCATCATGCATTGTCTCACATATGAGCTTTTTTTTGGGGGGGGCACATCATACAAAAAATAACACATCTTTACTGAGGGAAGATGCCACAGTGTGATTTGGTACTGCCCATTCTCTAGGAATGGTAAGTTATTGGAAGGACCAAACTTGGAGGAGCAGAGTCTGAGATGATGTGCATTTCAAATATTCATTTGTCCTCTCTGTCTTACTCTTATCTTGGCCTTATAAGTAACTTCAATGAAGAGTTTAATCTCTGTCGTGGACAAATAATGAAGTTATATTTGGCTGAAAGTGAAAGTATTAAATGTTCTTTTGTTTATGAGAGTAAATCATAGTGCTTTCTGGATTTCAAATATGTCAAGTCTGACCATAATTATATCAACACTAACAGCATCTACAGCTTTACAGTTTATTAACAATGGCTCAATAGTATTCATTAACACTAACATTTATCTCTAATATTTTCTGTAAATATAATTTTTGAACCAAGACCTACTTTGACCCATTTTTACTTTTATATGTCTTTCTTCATCCCTGATAGGTTAAAAGACCATTTAACCAGTTCAATATTTAGGGATATGACCACGAGGTGGCAGTCTACCCCAACTGGTGCATAGTAGGTGGAAGATTTATTGCAGTGGATTCTGAATGAATAGGTTTTTTCTTATAGGCTGGGCAGACAATAAAGAGAAGCCAATATAATTGTTACTGTGAAAAGGAACATCGAGATAACAGAAGGAGCTCTCCTGAGTAGATTTCAAGTCTGGATTGATTTAATTGTGAACAATGAAGATATCTAATCCTGCTTTATTCATGTTCTTGTGGCTGCAGCTGGATGGTGAGTTGAGGATTTGGGGGAAACAGTATATTAGCAGATGTTCTTTAGACATCTGGGAAGAAAACTGGCTTTATGGAAGCTTTCCCTAGTCACTGAAGAATAGGAAAACTCTAAAGAGTAATCACATACAAACATCTTTTTTTTTTCATTTTCTTTCTGCATAGAGTTTATCCAAGGAGAGAAAGTGGATCAGCATCCTTCTACCCTGAGTGTCCAGGATGGAGACAGTGCTGTTATCAACTGCACTTACTCAGACAGTACTTGGGACTATTTCTCTTGGTATAAACAAGAAACTGGAAAAGGTCTCCAGTGTATTATAGACATTCGTTCAAACAAGGAGATAAGTCAAATCCAAAGATTCATTGTTGTGTTGGATAAGAAAGCCAAACACTTCTTCCTGAACATCACAGCCACTCAGCTTGGAGACTCAGCTGTCTACTTCTGTGCAGCCAGTGCATGATGCTTCCCAGACACCTGCAGCCTGTACTCAAACCTGCCACTGGGCAGAGCTCTACCTGCTTCCTTTGTCACAGTCTTCCCATAGCATTTGCCTCAATGCAAATGAAAATAGCATATTAACATTAAATACATATAGTAAACAGGTTGGGTTCATTATGACCCAGTTACTTAATAATTTTGGTTAACAATTTTTTCCAACTTTTTTGTGTGTATTTAAGGGGTACAGCATGATGTTTTGATATAAATAAACATTGAGAATTGGACAGATGAGTGGGAATGCCTAGGGAAGGCATAGGAGAAGAAATCCCCAACTCCAATGATCAGCAATCTCCAAGTGATCAGCAATCCTAAAGCTGTGCTTAAACTGTTTTGCCTTGAAATCCAGACTTGGAAGATGAGTTTACACGGTCTGTTCAGACTCCTCTCATATAAATAACCCCTTGAGATCTTTATCATGATCCCTGTTATCTGTGGGCTCTTGACTATTTAGATATTGCATTAATTATTTTTCTGATTAGCAAACAATACATACCAAAGACAGAAAATATGTTTGTTACAAAAATGGGAAATTGATAGGGTTTTATCCAGATAATTCCAATATTTAGTCAGAGAATACAGAGAAGTACACATATAGGACAAAGAAGTCTAGATATCTGTTATACAATATAAGGTGTATAGCTAATTATACTGTATTAGGGATTTCTGCCAAATAAATAAATTTTAGTAATTTTTTTCAAACACATAAAAATTTACTATGAAAGAGAATAGATATGTAATTTTCTTCACCATATAATTAATTTACTATCTATATTCATCCTGACATATCCTGTTAGAAACCCCAATTACACAGAACATAATTTGATTTGAAGAATCCTATTTATTTCCATTTACCTATGCCTTTCTTTCTTAAAATATAAATATAAAACTCCATTTATATTTACTCCTCAACATTTAAATTTATTGCTCCTTTACATTTATTTCTAGTGTGTGTGAAAAAAATCTTAGTATGTATCTTCCCACTGCTTTACTCAACTCTTAGTAGTGGGTTACAGAGGGAATTTGGTTAATGATTCACAGATGGCTCACTACAAAGCTCTCTTCATGTCAAGTCTGAATCAATTTTTATTATCACAAGTTTCTTTTAAAATTATATCTTCTAGTGACATTGATGCATCAATGAATGTGAAGAAACTGTATAAATAAGAAATTCCCTAATTCTCTGACTTCTGGTCACAGTTAGGTGCATTTTAAGAGTTCTTATATTAATGAATACAATGAGCCATTGGTGTTGTGAAGAGGATCCCTCTTGGCTGAGTTAAGGGTGTTAGTTATCAGCTAATTGGCTTGTTCTTATAGTCTTTAGAATAAAGTAGATTTAAAACATCTGATCAGGAGTGGCTAACATTGTGACCCCTCCTTCAACTGGCTGTCATTCTTTTCCTCAATATTATCACTAGCTCCTCTCCTGGAAAAGGACATGGACTCCTTATTAGTCCACTTCCCCCAAGACTGGTAATGGAGTGAGAGGGAAGCGTGGCTTACATTTTATCACTAAGTTTCATGGTATAAGACAGAGAGTATGTTACTATTCACCTAAAATATTTATCTTACTAAGATGACAATTTATCTAAAAGAATGAAAACACAGAAATACCTACACACACACACACACACACACACACACACACACACCAAAACAAAACCCTCCAGCACTGTGTGCAAGGTCAATATCTCAGATCCAGACAGGTTCAAGCTTTGGACCCACACGATAGTTGGTGTGTGTTTTCCTTTTGCTTCTGTAACAAACTTGGTGGCTTATTGCAAGAGAAGTGTATTTTCTCTGTCATGGTTCTGGAAGCCTGAAGTTGAAAACAGTTTCTCTGGGCTGCACCCACCCAGAGGCTGTAGGGAGAATCTGCTCCTGGCCCCTCCCAGCTCTTATGGCTGCCAGCATTTCTGGGCTTGGGGCTGCCTCCTCCACTCTCTGCCTCCATAGTCACCCTGGATTCTCTCTCCCATTTTCAAGTGTCCTTCTCAGAAGTGTCTATGAGATTACTTTCAAATTTCATATAATCCAGGTAATTCTCTAAAGATCTCAGGATCGTTAACTTAATCATATCTGCATATAAATTAAATAAAGCATTATTGTTTCTATTGCCTCAATAAAACCTTATCAAAAAGTTTTTTTTTTGGTATAGGAACAAAGGAAGAAAAATTAGAAATATATAACATTCTACTATTAAGGTGAGAAAATACTATTTAAAATATAAAAATAAAGGATAGGACAGGAGATATCACACATAGTGGTTCCAATCAGCCAGAGAATTCTGTTCTGACAGTCTTGGAGGCACTGTCTACATTGTGCCAGGGTTTAAGGATCTGGGTCAGTGTTCATCTTCTGAAGATTGTCTGTTTATGGACATTTTCTGCAGAAGTTTAGTGAAGATCTTTAATGTGAGTTACTTTTTGATTCTTGTCATTTTAAGATGAATGATGTCACATAGTTGTTAAATGCAATTAAGAACAGCTCCTTGTACTTTATCTGCTGAACTGGTAGTAAATATTACTTGGCTCCTTTCTTTAAGTTTCAGAATACCACATCATCTAGGTTTAGGCCATATAGAGGCTGATTAAATGAGAAGCCAGAAAAAGCAACCTGTTGGCATGTTGATAAGAGGCTTTATTCATGAATTTTTTTTATATAGTTCAATTTGAAAAAGAATGGAATCTGTATAATTTGGGAATTATATGTACCTACTGGTGACTGTTTCATAGGAAGCCAACATATGAGTTTGTGTGAGGGGGAAAAGCAGGGCCATGAGACCTGTAGGAGTAGCGATGTATTATATAGGTAGCCTGTTTCCTGTTCTGGTGGAGCAGCAGCTCAGAGCATGTAGTTCCTCCCTCACCCTGTCAGGCTCCCCTCCCAGTGCAAACCCTGGAGTCAAAGAAGAATTCCTTCAGAAGGAAGAAGGCAAACATGGTGCTGCCCAGGCTGCTGAAGCTGCTTATGGTGTCCATGTGGCTGGGTAGGGATGGTTCCTAGGGGAAGTGACCACCTCTGTGACCTAGGGACTGGGGGACAGGGTAGCCTTAAAGGGACTTGGGGAGGGTTAGTGTTGTATAAATGTGTACTTTTTTTGTCCCACACCACTTGTCCCTCAACTTTCTGATTCTGTCCTTTTCCCTTCAGGATCCAGTTTTGCCCAGAAGGTGACTCAGGCCCAGCCAGCCATGTGGGTGCAGGAGAAGGAGGCTGTGAGCCTGCTCTGCTCCTATGACACCAGTGCTGGAAATTATGATCTCCTCTGGTACAAGCAGCCCAGCAGTGGGGAGATGGTCTTCCTCATCCGTCAGAACTCTTACAGCCAGCAAAATGCCACAGAAGGTCGCTACTCACTAAATTTGCAGAAGGCAAGCAAATCCATCCAGCTTGTCATCTCAGCCTCTCAGCTGGGGGACTCAGCGGTGTATTTCTGTGCACTGAGAGAGGGCACAGTGGGAGGACTGTTGGAGGAAGGCGCACAAAAACCCAGGGTCTGCCTGAGTCACCCACTTGCTGGAGGGACCAAGGCAGGAAGTGGCAGGGCTGTGTCAGCTTATGTCTGGGGTTAGAGGAAAACACTCACTCTAAGGAAACCCTTTCTAGGTTCATAGATCACATCACACTTATCACTAATCAAAGCCAGCCATATTGGTGAAACTTTGGATTGAATGTAGACACATAATTTTTGACAGAAGATTAAAAAGGAAGAAGAAGCACAATAAGCAATTTATCATTTGGATATAAAATTTGACTCAAATAATTGGCTAAAGTGGTTCAGAAACATGGCTGAAGAGTAGTGAAAATCTGTATGAGCTGTTGGATTTTCAGAACAAAATTTCCATTAAGTATTTATTGAATAAAGATTATGTTTCTAGTGTATTTTAAAATAAGGAATGCCTTGAAATCTCTGTGTGGTGTGTGTATGTGTGTGCGTTTTTAAGAAAAATCATGCTGTTTCATACGATTTAATGAATTTGTTTTAGGTTTGCTTTCCTTGAGTGAAAGACATATTTACTTTCTAAATGTGTCTTCTATACTACAAACTTTGTGCTAAGTGTTCCTTTCATCTTCTCAATAACTCTACCATGGAAGAGCTCTATTTGCATATTAAAATTCTACTGTGTCTAACCCTTCATATTCATAAAAGCACAGTAACTAGTGACTCTTACAGAGGTATGTGGAGGATCCACCCCAGAGATGGAGATGGAAACCTCTTTACAGGAACATAAGGGATCATTTTCTCCTAAGATAGTCACAATCCTTTAAAAATGTTAAATTTCCACTTTCACTCTAGTATGTTCCAGCTTGCTTTTTCAGTTTTATTATTCTATTTGTTTCATTCTATGACAATATCATAAAATAATAAATTTTATTACATGTTAAGATAAATCACTTTTCGCCAGTAATGTTTATGAAGTTTTTAGTAATTATTGCAGGTATTTTTCAACATGAATGTTAAAATCTGCCCCAATTTCTTCATATTCAATAACCCTCCACTAAACTAAATGAAAAAATCATACAAAAACCAAAGAATGTTTCAAAACAAGAAAGTTGGAGTTACATTTATTGACACAAAATATAAATTTATTATCTTTTTATTCAAGAAAGAGCTAAGTTTTTCAATTATGAAAGGCCTTCTATGTTCTTCAACTATATTTTGAAGTTTCTTATATATTTATTTTCTTTCTTTTTTTTTGCAAGGGCAAACTTCAATTTTTTAAAAATTTGTTTTAAGTAGTTACACATGACAGTACAATGATCTTGACATATCATACATTTGAAAAACTTCACTTTTAATTTAATTCTCTCTCCGTTTTTTCTGCTCTACTCCTTTCTCCTATGGAATTCGTACTCTCAAAATTTCTCCCCTTTTATTATTTATTTATTTATTTATTTTTGATGTTTTTAGGAATACATGACAGTAGGGCATACCTTGACATACTATACATACATAGGATACAACCCATTACAATTTTGATCCCATTCTTGCGGTTGAAAATAATGTGGAGTTACACTGGTTGTGCATTCATATATGAGCATAGGAAAGTTATGGATGACTCCACTGTGTTCCCTATTCCCTCCCCCCTCCCTTTTCTTCATTCTCCTTTGTCCCATCCAATAAACTTCTATACTTCCCCTCCTTACCCTCCCTTGTTATGGGGTAGCATACATCCATCAGAGAGAACATACCGGCTTTGGTTTTTTGGGATTGGCTTATTTCACTTAGCATGATAGTCTCCAGTTCCATCCATTTACTGGCAAGTGCCTTAATTTCATTATTCTTTAGAACTGAGTAAAATTATATTGTGTATATATAATAATTTTCTTTATCCATTCATCTTGTTAAAGGATATCTAGGTTGGTTCCATAGCTTGGCTATTATAAATTGAGCTGCTATAAATATCAATGTAGCTACGTCACTGTAGTATGCTTATATTAAATCCTTTGGGTATAAACCAAGGAGTGGAATAACTGGGTTAAATGGTGGTTCCATTCCAAGTTTTCTAAGGAATCTCTATACGGTCCTCCAGAGTGGTTGTACCAGTTTGCAGGCCCACCAGCAATGTATGAGTGTGCCGTTTCCCCCACATCCTCACCAACATTTATTGTTACTTGTATTCTGATAGCCATTCTGACAGGAGTGAGGTGGAATCACAGCATAGTGTTCTTTTTTTAACTCTTTTTTTTTGGGGGGGGGACACAATTCCTTCCTTCCTTCCTTCCTTCCTTCTTTCCTTCCTTCCTTTTTGTGGTGCTGAGGACTGAACCATGTGCAAGGCAAGCATTCTATCACTGAGCTACAATCCTGCCCCCACAGTGTAGTTTTAATTTGCATTTCTCTAATTGCTAGAGATGTTGAGCATTTTTTCATATAATTTGTGACCACTCATATTTCTTCTTCTGTGCAGTGCCTGTTCAGTTCTTTAGCCTATTTATTTATTGGGTTATTTATTTTTCTTGTGTTAAGTTTTTAAGTTCTTTATATATCCTAGAGATTAATGCTTTATCAGAGGTGCACATGGTAAAAATTTCCTCCCAATCTGTAGGCTCTCTCCTTACATTATTGTTTGTTTCCTTTGCTGAGAAGAAGATTTTTAATTTGAATTCATCCCATTTATTGATTCTTGATTTCACTTCTTGTGCTTTAGGGGTCTTTTTAAGGAAGCCAAATCCTAGGCTGACATGATGAAGATTTGGGCCTATTTTTCTTCTGTTAGGTGCAGGGTTTCTGTTCTAGTGCCTACATCTTTGATTCACTTTGAGTTGATTTTTGTGCAGGGTGAGAGATAGAGGTATAATTTCATTTTGCTATATGTGGATTTTCAGTTTTGCCAGCAGCATTTGTTGAATAAGCTATCTTTTCTCCAGTGAATGTTCTTGGCACCTTTTTCTAGTATAAGATAACTGCATTTTTGTGAATTTGTCTCTATGTCTTCTATTCTGTGCCATTGGTCTTCATGTCTATTTTGGTGCCAATACCATGTAATTTTTGTTGCTATACATCTATAGTATAGTTTAAGATCTGGTATTGTCATGCCTCCTGCTTCATTCTTCTTGCTAAGGATTGCTTTGGCTATTCTGGATCTGTTATTTTTCAAAATAAGTTCCATGATTGCTTTTTTTTATTTCTATGAAGATCAGTTTAAACCTTGTAGATCAGTTTAACCATGAACTTTCTGAATTCCATCTCTTATATTTCCTCCACTGTGGTGTCAATGTATTCAATTGTTGATGTAATCTGGATTATTTTGGATGCTTTTTCTCTTGCTTTTTCATTTTATTTGTGTATCTATTCATCTATATAGATGTATCTGATGCTATAGAGTTTATACCTTATCGGTTTATAATGTCCCTCTATGTTACTAGTACCTCATAGATTGGGGTAGGGAGGGAGCCTAATGATAGCAACAATGTGTGCAAACAATATATAGCAGTAGACTGTGTACTCAGTTCCTATTTTGATATCTAGTATTCACTGGTTCAATACATAGGGATAGTGGGATCAGCAATTTTCATCAGTAAAAACTATATATAAACACATATTATATCTGACTAAAATCAAACAATTGTTGTTGTCTATGCCTTCTTCTGTGTTAATTATTGCTGTATTAATTATTGCTGTGCCTGACTTGCATATGTGGGCCTTGCCTGATTTTCATATGTGGGCTACCTGTCTTGGAGCCAGTGAAACAATGGAGGGATTGACATTAATCTTGGATTATTCTATATGGATTCAGTTACTAAACTTTGGTGTTTCTTCTGTCTAGGATTCAAAATTATCACTTTTCAATGATTCTGAAATTAAAGAGTATACGCATATGGATTAGATAGTATTTCTTTCTCCCCTGCAAGCTTTAATTAAAAAGATAAGATTTTTGCAATTTGCTTTATTTTAGAAGAGGGGAAGTATGATCTTTCCATCTATTAATTATGTTTGTTCCAATAAATTCCAATAAATTGTGCACCTAATAAATTTCAGTCACTGCTCTACATGTGGGGTACTGTACTAAAAAATGCAGATTTCTCATTAATGATTTGACTTATTATTACTTACTTTCATTAAACTCAAAGCAGTTCTAGGATATTTCAGTGGATTGTGGTTTTCCAATAATTGATGTCTGAGAGTATAAAGGCATGTATTAAAATCCACAAGACAATTGATATATTCTGGGCTATAGGCACAACTTGGTATGATCTTCTTAAGAATTTACATGGGAGGGACAGGAAGATGGTCGCGAGGGGAGTGCATTGCCCCCGTGTGCCGCGTCACTGTGTGGGAGTATGACGAGTCAGGACAGCTAAAGGCTATCTTGTTAGGAATTTCCAGCAATAGTGGGGTGCTCCGGAACCTGGAGGAAGGATTTCCATCGCACGAGGATCGGCTACGGGGACTCAAACGCGAGAGATTTGTCGCATGGAGGGTAACACTGCTTATTCAGCAAATCGCCCCGTGGCTAGAGTCTGCAGCGTGCGCTGGGAAACGAGGAGATAGCGACGCAGGGATACAGCGCTGCAGTTTCTGCCAGTCGTGCAAGCACCGTACTCAGTGCTGAATTCTGGGTTCGAGATGGGGGAAGGAAGCGGTCCAATTCGGTTCTCCACACCGGTCAGACCACAGAGGAGGCCAGCGGCCACCATCTTGGAGAGCTGACGTCACCATCCCTGTTTTCGACTGACCGCAGGTCATTCAGCCATAGAACAGGTAATTTCAGGCTGCCATTCGCCTGCGGCTTGCAGATAGATTACTCAGGCTCAGTGCTAAATAACCCACGGAAACTGCTTCTTGGAGCCTGCTCTTATCAGAGCATACACCTAGCACAGAGCGGCCAAGTTCCAGCTCCCGGAACTGCTCTGGCCCAGGGCTAAGGAGCCCGCGGAAACTGCTTCTCGGTCCAGGTCCTGCTGAGTACTGTGGAGGTAAATACCAACCGAGCCTTCATGGGAAGCGGCAATAGGACTGAGACAGGGCCTGTGAGGGCCTGTCAGGACTCACCCGTTGCTTTGGTTACCCGGCAAAGGGAACGAAATGCTGCCATTTACATAGGATACCAACATGGCAGAGA